TGAAACAAATTTTACTAAACAAAAGAGCTTGTGAACTGAGCTACCACTGCACATCTCTCTGAAAGCAGCCAGTAGTCTCACACCACAGCCTGAATGTTGAGCTATCTTAAAATTTCCTCCACAAAGTTAAGCAGCCTCCCATCCACAATGCCAGTCCCTACAAAGTCTTAGGACATTGTCAAAGTGAATTTTTTGCCAGTATAAAACACATTGCCTGTAGTCCAATTGCCAATGGGCATTTTTTCCTCAATTGAAAACTCTTGGCCCTGAATTTACTGTCCCCATCCCTGGAAGCTTTCTGGTCTTCTGAGCTCCAACCAGAATCACCCATAAGGCTCTGCTAATATCTTCAGCTTTTCCAAATTTCTACCACAAAACAGTTCCAAAGGCTTTTAAACCACAATATAGTCAAATACAATCATAGCAACAACCCCCTTCTCAGTACCAATCTTCTATATTGGTCAGCTTTCTCATTGCAAGGACATAATATCCAATCCCTACAACTTAAAGGAAGATAAGTACAATTTGGATAATATTTTAGAGGAATTCAGCGCATGGTCAGCTGGTGTCAAGAAAGGAACATGAGGGTGATATAAGATGTTTACCCTCTGGCAGGTGAGAAAGGTAACAGTGTAGAAGTATCAAGGTATTAGACACAGACCTCCAAGCCAGTGCCTCCACGACCCACCCAGACATACCCAGAAATGTGCTCCACCAGTTACTTGGGCAGATCTCACAGTCAATCATGTTGACACTTTAACCTAATTACCACAGTGGAAAAAATATTAAGAGACAGGAGTAAGTTTTGAATTACTGCCCTTTTATCTTTAAAACCCCTGTTTTCTTCTGCAACAATGGTCCCCATGCATTGTCAAGAAGATAACTAGATGGATTCAACACTCTGTCTCACCCTAGGCAATAAATCTTGGGTGGAAGAAGATGAAAAAGTGCATTTCAGAAACTGCAGATGGGAAAACTGCAGATGGGAAAAGGTCAGGAAATGTTGTTAGAAAATTCCCTGTTTTCATTTAAAGAAAAGTAGTTGGGACTTAATGATTGCTAGTTTTTAAGTGCACATCCTCTATATAAAGTTACGCCCCTTAGAATGTGACTCAGTATAAGATGAGTCTGAATTACTATTATTACTGCTGCCTAGTTAAATATGATCCAATTCTGTAAATGTGCTCTATAGTATTTTACACTTAAAGCCTGACTAATCATTTGCTTATGTTTGTTGAATCAAATAAAACTGAGCTAAATGCATTCCACTGTTTTCTTTCAAGTTCCCAGAGTGCCTTTATCTTGCTGCTAAAAGGAGATGAATGGACAGAAGCTAAAAGAATTTTTGATTTTTCTCTCTGTAGCAAACAGCTCACTATAGTTTAAAAAAAAAAAAAAAACGGAAGGATCAATTGCTTTCAGTTGTGAATGAGGACACAAAATAAGTGACCTGGTCAAAGTAAGAGGCATCTGAAACTGGCCTCTCTGTGGTGCCACTTTATTTCAAGAAGAGATGGTGATGTTGCTTCTATTTATAAACTCATCTGAAAATGCATAAGCTCTGCAAGGTCTTTCTTCCTCTGTGACTGCATCTTGAAAGGGCATAAATTAGAATAACAGCATCAAATAACCTAATACCTTGAGTCAACAAAGGCAATTTACAGAAACATGAATTTACTAGCAAGTAGCAGGAAAGGCACAGAAAGGAGACAGCAAGGTATCATGATTTTTGAGAGGGTGAAAGTTCTTTGACTAAGCAGCCGTCTATAAATAGGTAGTTTATGGGTGCTTATTGGGTGAGGCTGGCATGTGGAGAAGCCAGGTTTTGGAGAGAAATGAACACTCATTAGGTGTACTATTATGTAAAAAGCTACTACCTTTCAGAATTTATATTTCTTATTGATAAAATTTGAATAACTCACCGGACTGTTATGAAAACCAAATCAACATAGTAGAATGTACCTATAACCACTGGTAGATGCTCATTAAATAGCTCCACGTCTTATTATGAACACCACCACCACCACCACCATCATTATGTGAAATAGACCAGGAACAACTGGCACCGAAATCTGGTTGTGTTATTTTCTCCAAATCTATGTCACAGACATATCACTTTTTGATGAGTGTTATAACATAGTCATTTTAAAAATAATGTCTTATGAAAAACTTCTAAATATAACCATGTGACCTAGCTTTAGAGACTGTTCAGAGAAAGTATATAATGAGAAAAAGAGAACAGGAATACACACTTTTTAAACTTCTCTGATCCAGCATCCTCTGGTTCTTACATGACAGTAAATCTGGACTTACCAGGCTCTCAAAACCCACATGGACTAGGCCAATTCCATGTCATCTCTACTTAACAATACCATTTTAGCACAGTGCAGGACTCCACTGGGAACTGCAAGCTTAAAGAAAACCTTATCTAAATTTTAGAAAGGAAGAAATAGGAATATTAGGGAAAACTCCTCTCTGGCCCTTCAACATTGTCCCTTTTGCCCATCCCAGGATGAGGCAGGGCATAAAATGCTTTTCTTCTGATCTCCAAGAAATAAAAATTCACTCAAGTAAAGTCAATCTGAAGAGAAGGAAAGTAGTTAATATTGGGTAAAATTCAAAGCTGCTCAACTAAAATTCAGATTTTAAGCACTGAACATTCTGATCTCCTAAACTGACTTACTATACTGGTAAATTATGTCTGACAATAGAAAGGTGCCTACAGAACCCTCAGCCTGCACCAAGAATGGTTCTCAGTGCACTGTGGGTCTTAACATACAGAAAGCTCACAATAGCCCTAGGAGGCAGATGCTAAGAATATCTCCATTTTTAAAGAAAAGGCACAGAGAAATTGGATAACTTGCCAAAATTCTCACAGCTGAAAAGCAAAAGAGTCCCTGTATGAACCACAGGGGGCAGTTTGCAAAGTCAGTGCTCTCATTTATATTTACTGCCCCACTGGAAGAAAGAACTCAGTGGATGAATTGAAACCCTCTGTATCATCTTGAGATTGAAAGTCTCATCCTTTTTCCTTATTTGATATTACATTATTAGGCAAAACTCCTTCAGGTATTTTAAAATTATTGATAATAGTTTTACTCCACATGTTTCTGTCTTCAATTAAAAATATATTTAAAGACACATGACAACAAACTGGTATTTTACATTACTGTTTAAGAATTGTTTTACTGGCTAAAAATACACTGAGAATTATTGTGTTTGTTTTAGTAAATACAAGAAACTTTAGAAATATTCTAAAACTCCAAAGTGTCTTATCATTTAACATGAAGCTTCCTAGTTTAATTAGCTATTGATCAGGAAGGAAAGGATGTGATCTAGTGAAGGACACCAAGAAAAGTGTTTGGAAATCACTCTGTTTCCCGATCAGAAGGTACTTACGTGGGAACTCACCAATAGAACAGATAAAATGAATTCCTTTTGCTCATTATCCCTTCTGTTATGACCCAGAAAAGGATATGAGGAGAGATCGAATTGGAGGGAGACAGCAGATTGAAAATGGGAGCTACCTTTTCAGGGGGAAATGAATGAGTCCAAAGGAGGAAGGACTCCCACTGACAGCTGTCATTTCCACAAACTCACTGAGCTACTTGATGTCTATTGCTGAGAAAAAAACACCCAGTGTTGGGTTTTTTAAAATGCTATTACAGTATTCTTGTTTTGTTGGAATTTTTAAAAATTCAGAGCTCATTTGAAGACAGAAGATTATAGTACCAGCAAGGGATTCAAAGAGCCAATGAGGGCATCTGAGTTTGGGATGTAGTCATCCAGTAGATGTAGAAACTGAGAATGCATACAGTGATAAAGCCTCTGACAACTAAGGCAAAATAGATTATCAGTCTGAGACTAAATTATGCTGTGCTGAAAACAGATCAGTTAGCAGTCTGTGCTTATTTGTACTTAGCCAAAAATATTGCCTTGAACTCTAATCTATAATCTCTATTACTGTTTCACTTCTATTATGAACAACAGGTAATACTTCATACTGATATTGTATATTTAAATGTATTCAGGTGATCCTGACTAATTCAAAACATCTATCTGGAAGATTGAAATATAGAGTCTAGAAGTAGCTCAAGTATTCTCAGCAATTCAAGTCTGTTTTAGAGGAAGGAGCTATGATAGTGCTGTGGGTACAGATTTATTATTGAAAAGTACAAAGCAAATAAATAAACACGACAGAAAGTAGTAATTTTTGCTAGCAAAAAAAATAGTTTTCAATATACTGAAGCAATATGAAACTGGAAGACATGGAACTTGGTGGGTTTTTACTTTCTATTTTCAAACCTATGATGAATATTCTTATGAACTGGAGAGAAGCAAAAATGTCAAACTGTATGAAGACAGAAGTCATGATCAGAAAGAGCATAAATCAGAAACAGGAAGAGATCTCCATGCTAAATTTTAGGCTTATAGCATACTGTGTAAATTTTCATCACAAAATGTAGATAATATCAGATCATACCAAATAGAGTCACCATTATTTCATCTCATTTCTTCACATACAAGGAACTATTGCCAGATTATCTTTTCACTTTACCTTTGGATATTTTCTGGCCTTGACCAGACTACAGGTGTTCACCCCCTTTGAATCCTAAGCCATCTGTCCTTAGGCATATCAGCTTCTGATAATCCAAATCTGAGCTCCAGTTGGTTTGGATGAATTTCATGTAATTGGGCAGGAAGGGATTTCTTCAAGAAGAGCCAGAATGGAAAAGTTGAGACCTCCAGTTTGGAAAAAAGGCTGTCCTGGCAGAGATGCTTGCATGCTTTGGCCCTAATACTAGCCAAAGGATAAAGAAAATAGAGTAGGAATTCCATTACGCACCTATGGTTTAGGCCCAATTCCAAATCATATGTAATTCACTCTCCCTTAATTCTCTCAGGCCATTTAACTACATGTTCAGAAAATTAGTGAGACCATAGATCAGCATCACATATAATGACTGTGCTACTTGCCTGATGTTAATGCCAAAACTTACCCATTTATCCTCCATTTCCTGTTTTGCAACCTCCCTTCTCAGCAGCACACAAAATCATGACATTGAAACAACGGCCTTCAAGTAGTATTATTTCCTCCAATGATTATTATTGCCCATAAATCTTGAGTATTACATACTCCTGCAGAGAGAATCATCTGTCACAGTTTGTACCTAGGTGAGGTCTTCTGAATGATATTTTTTGAAATCATTCACATAGCAAGTTCCAAGCTAAACCTTTCATTACTGTGAAGAGTCCCACAAGTTATAAACCTTTGCTCTATAGGAGCCACAGTCCTTGTTTTCTTCAGGTTCCCAGGACTACCATGTGCTTAATTACATTTCCTTAACATCCATTCTTTGACAAAATAGTTTTTCATGGTGCTAGGTATTATGCTTGGCACTGTGGGAAGTGACTAACAAAGTAGAAAATAGTCTTGCCTTCTTTGGTAGCAGTTGTTCAGCAGATGAACAAATAAATGGATGAGCAAATAGATAAATTTGTATAGGACAAAGGTAATTCACACTTGAATAGAGAGTTAAGTTTGGTGTGGTTTCCACCCGGCTCAGGAATGTAACTCATGAGATAGAGAGGCAGACTGAGGAATGGTGCGTGAGTTAGGAAATGAAATTATAAAATCATTACTAACCACTGATTCAATTAAATAATGATTACCCTAGTCATTTATTTATAAATCAGCATTTCTCAAAGAACTTTTTACAGAATCTAATTATCATTATTGTATTTGACATTATGGCAAAATATATTTGTGTGAAAAAAGATGGTGGACAATATTGTCTCAGTACTCTGAGCTGCTAAAATGCAGCATAGATTAAGCAACTCAGCAGCAGACATTTGCTCTCACTGTCCTGTAGGCTGGAAGCCCAAGATGAAAGCTCTGGTGGATTTGGCATCTGGTATCTTCCTGATTTCCTTATGGCCAGCTTCTCATTATTTTCTGACATGGTTGGAAGAGGAAGAGAGAGTTGTCTAAGGTCCCTTTTTAGAAGCACTAATCTCATTCATAAGGGCTGTACTCCACGACCTATTTCTCTTCCATGGTCCCCATCTTGAGTACTCTGTGCTAGGGGTTAGGATTTTACCACATGAAATCCATGACTGCATTCATTCTCAGCAGCTGAACACACTGGTGGTCAATGCCCACAAATGTACCCTTTCAAGAGGCAACATTAGCAGCTCCAGGGACCTACCCACCAGAAGCTGACTTATGGCCAGTATCTGGGTGATAAACAAATACAAAGTTCCATTCCACTGGCTCAGTGAGACAAATTTTAAGGGCCATGTTGGTCACAGAACATGCTATGAGATCAGCACCATCCACGAGGTAGGCCAGCTGCATCTCTGTCCAGTCTACATTCGCCACTTCCTTACAGGTGTGAATCTCCCCAAGAGTACACTCATATACTATTTCTCTGTACATTTGACAAGTCTGTTTCTCAGGAACCCAATCTCAGACAGTGAGTTCAGATGAATTTTTGATCCATTTATGCCTGTGTTAACAAAAGCCTATTTGCTATCTAGTGCATGTGAGACTTTTGATTCACAGATTACAATCGATCGTCCAAGTTCCTAATAATTTTTCTCATTATGAACATCTCTGTTTCTGAAAACTTTTCTAAGTTTTGTATTTCAAGGGTTTTGTGTGTGTGTGTGTGTGTGTGTGTGTGTGTGTGTGAGAGAAAACCATGGGTATCATGAGTTACAATTTTTAAAATGGCAATAAATTTTTATTTAAATTCAAAATTGAGGTTCTGATACATATTCAGGCCATCAGTAGTAGAACCTGTGAATAAAGATGGAATTCCATGCTGTCCTCTTCATTTCACCAAATCGTGTCTTTTTGAAATACATCTAGTGTGAAGTACAAGCTTTTTAAGAAAAAATGGTCCTGCCTTAATCAAGTCTGGCATCTAACAATATACATTTACAAGCATACATACAATCTTATTAAATAGCCTAAAGGAACTTACGGATAACTTGTTCAATCATTTTGAGATTTTTGCTAAAAAATAAAAAGAAAAAAGAAAGAAAGAAAGAAAGAAAGAAAAAAAGAAAGAAAAAAAGGAAGTAAGTAAAAGTGATGTCCAAAGTAGAAGAGTGATTTGCCTAACATCTGACAGACAGTGATAGAATTTAAACTGGATCTTGGACTTCCAAACTCTAACCTTAAAATAATCCATTCTCTGTCATTCAGGCTCATGGTGGTGAGGCAGGAAGAATGGTTATTAGCGTCCCAAAGGGAAAAAAAGGCATTTATGTATAAAATCACAATACAATTGTTTTAGACAGACACATGTATTCTCAATTTATAAAAATTCAGTTAAGCACACATTTTGGGGGATATAGTATATGCATAAATCTAAAAATATATGTAAACAGGATGGTATAAAAACTATCTCTCCTTTCACCCCATATTAGCAACCATTGATAATTTAATAAATCATCAGGACAAGATTCAATCAAGCATCCAACAGTCTAAATATCTACATTTCTAAAAAACATTCAATAAAGGAATATGGACTGAAACAAAACACATAAGGAGATTGAATCACTTTAACAATTTCACCAGAAAATGGCTTTTATCAACATAGTCTTTTTACTCATCTTTTTATAGATTCAATCAGCACTACCTTCACAGAAATCAGGCATGGAGATTCCATGGCAACCACTGTGTTCTGCACAGACACACACACAAAGTCAACACATTTAAATAACTGTAACTCATACCCACTTAGGTATATTAGATTTGAATCTCAGATATAAAAATAGCTACAATCATTTCTTTGCCAATGAGAGGCTTTGTTATTAATAATGTCATAGGTGGCTATAAACCTAGTGATAGTGCAAAATACAAAAGCAAAGCTCATATAGTAAAAAGCAACAGCCCAGGTCTAGACACTGTTCCCTATAATTCAGTCTTTTAGGTTCTTCTTATAAGTGATTCTCAGCTCAGTTGTGGGCTGCTCAAATGGGGTCTTCACTGGTAATAAAACAGAATTGATAGAAGTCTGTATCAGTATTTTCTACCCCAAACATAAATGATTTTTCAATTTTCAATCTTTTTCTCTATTTATAATAATATGACTCTGAGAACCAATTTCAGTGGACAAATTTCTCGATTTGAGTAATTGTTCAAAAGTCATGTTTGCAAGAAGACCTTGGTTTATCCTTTCCAAGCACCTGCCGTACAGAAATGTAGAGTAAGTCGAAGGTATAAGGATGTAATATCAGCCATGTAAACAGAATGAAACAATTTAGACAGGCTAGAAACTGTGAAAAAAATTACACATGGTTCATGCCTGTGTTTTGTCAAGTTTCATAATGCTGACTAGTTACAATAGAATTATATGTGGTTCTCATTTAAAATACAGATTTCTGAGTCTCACTCCTATCCCACCAAATGAATCCACTGCATTATACTAATTACCAAGCAAGGGGTCCTTTGACAGGACACAGAAGGACTGAGACCACACAGCAAGTACAGATATCCTGCCAATAACTGGATGACCATGTAAACTTGTAATGAACTAAAATCTGGAAATCCTCTAAACATAATAGTGACATGTAGCTGCTGTGGCTTGGTTATGTATGGCAATTCCTAGTAGGGGAATGGGGATAATAAAACTTGAAATGTTTTCTATATATTAAAAGCTATAATGAGGAAATGAAAGCAGAGACAAAGGATATAAAAGCCATTCAGTAGGTACAACTGTGCTTCTATTTACTGATTATAACCTAGTCCAGGGTATCTCCACAATAAACATAACAAAAGCAACAATTTTAATATATTTTTATAACTCTTCATAGTTTTCAAAACGTATTTTATTATATACATGTAAATGGGTAGAGAGTGGTTAAAGAGTAAGATTATAGAAAGTCAGAGTTTCATGTTCATTATCGAACTTGACTGTAACCACCATAAGAATCTGAGATCTTTATTTCCTCCAAGTGACTGGCTTATACTAAGTGCTTAATAATATTGGTAGAGTGGTTAATAAATTAATGAACAATAAAGGAGATATCAAAAAAAAAAAAACATAACTGGGGGCTGGAGATTTAGCTCAGCGGCACAAGCGCCTGCCTTGTAAGCAGGCAGTCGTGAGTTCGATCCCCGGTACTGATAAAAAGGAAACACACACACACACACACACACACACAAAAAAAAAAAAAAAAAAAAAAAAATTAAAAAAAAAACATAACTTGGATAAATGAAAGGAAGGTGCTTTCTTAGATAATATCTGACAGTATATTGTTCCTCATGTAAGGAATTCAAGTACTGTAAAGGGTAAGATGGAGCTTCAACTTGATTGACTTTGGGTTCCATCACAAGGACTGGTGGAGCACACTTCTAGGTTATCTAAGTGAGTCAGGAAGGTGTGGCCTTGGGCATATGTCTGATGCATCACACCTTCTGTTCTGACTCTTCTTTTGCTGTGCCTCCAGGATACCAGAAACCATACTACTCTAATTCACCAAAACATCCACTATCAGGTTTCTGTGTTGAAGCCAAATAACCATGAACTGAAACCATAAGCAAATTAAACTTTTCGTCCTTTAAATTGTAAGTACTGAGTATTGTCCTGGTTACTTTTCTCTTGTTGCTGGGACAAAATACATGACACCCAAAATTAAGGAAGGAAAGGTTTATTTAGCTCACAGTTCATGGAGGTTTCAGTCCATAATCAGCTGGTTCCAAGGCAGTATGGCATGGCACAGGAAATTATTCATGGGAGAAGCAGGTACCAAAGGTGACAAAAGCAAAAAAGGAAAAAAGGGAAAAGCATGTATCTTTCCCTCTCTTATACTGTATGCAGGCTACTCATCCCTGGGCAAGTGCAGCACTCATACCACCAATCAACCCCAGCGCCAGACAACAAACCAATCAAAAATGCTAGATTCAGCCATCTCTATGATGACATGAAGCTTTGGTGGGTTATCTAAACACAAACCATAACAGGTACAGTGTCCAACAGCAGGAAAATTGACCAATACAAATAAATAAATAAAACACATAGGAAGGGTAGTGAAAAGGAGAAGATTTTGGGGTTGCTCTCTGAAGGAGATTTGATAATGTTTTAAAATACAGTCACTGTTACCAGATTTTGTGCATTTAAACAGAG